TCCATGTCATATCACTTGGACCTCTAATAAGGCCTTATGAAGGTGTCCATGTCATATCACTTGGACCTCTAATAAGGCCTATGTGTCCATGTCATATCACTTGGACCTCTAATGAGGCCTTATGAAGGTGTCCATGTCATATCACCTTGACCTCTAATAAGGCCTGATGAGGGTGTCCATGTCATATCACCTGGACCTCTAATAAGGCCTTATGAAGGTATCCATGTCATATCACTTGGACCTCTAATAAGGCGTTATGAAGGTGTCCATGTCATATCACTTGGACCTCTTATTAGGGCTTATGAAGGCCTAGGTGTCCATGTCATATCACTTGGACCTCTAATGAGGCCTTATGAAGGTGTCCATGTCATATCACCTGGACCTCTAATAAGGCCTTATGAAGGTGTCCATGTCATATCACTTGGACCTCTTATTAGGGCTTATGAAGGCCTAGGTGTCCATGTCATATCACTTGGACATCTAATAAGGCCTTATGAAGGTGTCCATGTCATATTACTTGGACCTCTAATAAGGCCTTATGAAGGTGTCCATGTCATATTACTTGGACCTCTAATAAGGCCTTATGAAGGTGTCCATGTCATATCAATTGGACCTCTAATTAGGGCTTATGAAGGCCTAGGTGTCCATGTCATATCACTTGGACTTCTAATAAGGCCTTATGAAGGTGTCCATGTCATATTACTTGGACCTCTAATAAGGCCTTATGAAGGTGTCGATGTCATATCACCTGGACCTCTAATAAGGCCTTATGAAGGTGTCCATGTCATATTACTTGGACCTCTAATAAGGCCTTATGAAGGTGTCCATGTCATATTACTTGGACCTCTAATAAGGCCTTATGAAGGTGTCGATGTCATATCACCTGGACCTCTAATAAGGCCTTATGAAGGTGTCGATGTCATATCACCTGGACCTCTAATAAGGCCTTATGAAGGTGTCCATGTCATATCACTTGGACCTCTATTATATATAAATCAGGCCCTATGAAGGTGTCCATGTCATATCACTTGGACCTCTTATTAGGGCTTATGAAGGCCTAGGTGTCCATGTCATATCACTTGGACCTCTAATAAGGCCGTATGAAGGTGTCCATGTCATATCCCTTGGACCTCTTATTAGGGCTTATGAAGGCCTAGGTGTCCATGTCATATCACCTGGACCTCTAATAAGGCCTTATAAAAGTGTCCATGTCATATCACTTGGAACTCTAATTAGGGCTTATGAAGGCCTAGATGTCCATGTCATATCACTTGGACATCTAATAAGGCCTTATGAAGGTGACCATGTCATATCAACTGGACCTCTAATAAGGCCTTATAAAAGTGTCCATGTCATATTTTTTTTTGTCCATGTCATATCACTTGGACATCTAATAAGGCCTTATGAAGGTGCCCATGTCATATCACTTGGACCTCTATTATATGTAAATCAGGCCCTGTGAAGGTGTCCATGTCATATAACTTGGACCTCTAATAAGGCCTTATGAAGGTGTCCATGTCATATCACTTGGACCTCTAATTAGGGCTTATGAAGGCCTAGGTGTCCATGTCATATCACCTGGACCTCTAATAAGGCCTTATGAGGGTGTCCATGTCATATCACTTGGACCTCTAATAAGGCCTTATGAAGGTGTCCATGTCATATCACTTGGACCTCTATTATATGTAAATCAGGCCCTGTGAAGGTGTCCATGTCATATAACTTGGACCTCTAATAAGGCCTTATGAAGGTGTCCATGTCATATCAC